ACAGTAACGCTTACAGCAGATGAACGAAGCCAATACGTCTATAAACAACGCCGGGCAGCTGTCGGTCTCAGCATTGCCCTGGCTGCTTTTGTTAAACGAGACGGCGACAGTGCCGCCACAGTTCATATGTTGCCTAAGCTGGCGCATCTGTAAGGATCCGAAAGCGGATCCAGAGGACGTCAACCGGCGGACTCTGGAGAGGGCCGACCTGGAGGCCTACCAGCGGGAGCACGGGTCGAGACCGACTTCAGGTATACATTTAGCAAGCTGAAACCTTCTTTGCACCTTTTGTTATTGTTCAGTTATATATAAAGCAAAAGAGCAAAACAAGTCAAAAGGCTGAACCTCGCTGCAAAGGTTGTTAGGTAGATTTTTCTTGCCGCACCCACTTTCGCACGTTTCCGCAGGCAAGAACAACCGGACGTATGCGGAGGCGGATGGAGCGAGCCCAGCCCTGATCGCGGACTTCGTGATAAGCAGCATGTCCTCTTTTTCGCGGGATCGCGGTTACCACTCCTTTCTTAACCGCAAACTGCCGCCGCTGAGCCCGGCCGCGTTGGCCCGACCCATGGGTCACAAGCTGCTTTTCCTAGGCAAGGAGGGCCCGCCGGCGCGCTTCTTCTGCCCGCTGTCGCGGCGGCTCATGCGTGAAGCCGTGGTGGATGGACGCGACACGCGGCTTGCGTGGGAGGGGGCGGCACTGCGCGCGTATGTGGCGGAGCACAGCCGGAACCCGCTGACAGGTGGGTGGGCACTGGGCAGCCCACACACGGAGACGCGTGGTGGCAGTCGGATTGCGCAGTAGAGTTTTAGGTGTACGGTTACCTTGTTTAAGTACTAGCCTTAAGATTTCTTGTATTCGACTATTCTCACAGCTAGGCCGAACCTAGTACCTCCGCCCGGTTTCAGGGGTTTCAGGTGTTCAGGCGCACAACTGCCAAGAGACGACTGCTGTTGTGAACTTGTAATGGGCTGTTGTGTGGTTACGGGTACCCATGCCCCTGCATGCAGTTCCACTGTCATCCGATGAGCTAGAATATTATTCCCACCTTCAACTAATCCCACTCCGCCCCTCAGGCGAGCCTACCACGCTAGAGGCCATTCAGCCGCACCCTGCCCTGCAACAAGAGATCGACGACTGGATCCGCTGCCACGCCCGACTAGAGGACCCGCTACAGGCAGCGCCCGCCGCCGCCACCACCGCCGCCACCACCGCCGCCGCCGCCGCCGCCGCCACCGCCGCTGCAGTCGGTGGCATTGCGCCAACCGCCGCTGATCGCGCCCCCGACCCCACCGCCGCCGCCGCCGCCGCAGCAGCAGCAGCAGCAGGTCCCGTTCCCTGTCCCGCTCCTGAACCCAACGCCGACTCCGGCCCCATCGCCGCCGCGGGTATTCCAGCTGGTGGCGGCGGAGGCGGCGATGGCGGTGGTGGCGGCGGTGGCGGCGGCTTCAGCGCAGTGATGGAGCGCAGTGATGCAAATGGCGGCGGCGGTGATGTACGGCAGCTACGACAGGGTATCAGCGGCCATGCAGCCTGCAACCCTGGGGCAGCAGCAGGTGCGTGTGTGCAGCAACCTGCCGCTTCGGCGCCGGCTTCCGTACCCGCTTTCCTGCCGCCAGAGAAGCGCCGAGATGGCGGCGGCAGCGCTGCCTTCCTTGACATGTTCAGTGCACTAGCGGCTGCCTCGCCTGAACCCCTGCGATCCCACAAAAGTCCGCAAAAAGAGGCCCCGCCCCGCGCCGCCACTGGAGCGGCGGCGGAAGCGCTGGCCACCGCCACCGCCACTGCAGCAGCGCAGCCGGGCACTGAACCAGCAGCGGAGCGGGGCCGGTCTGCAGCGAGTCGGCGGCAGAGTGCTGGGGTTGTTGCGCAGTGGAGTCCGCTGGGCTCTGCGAACTGTGGAGCGGCTGCAGCGGTGGGCGCGCGGGGTGCTGTGGGGGGCGACACGGCCGCAGCGGCAGCGGCAGCGGCAGCAGAGCCAAGCAGGACGAGGGAAAAAAGAAATTCCAAAGTGTGGTGGACGAGGGAGGGTCAAGAGGCGAGGCATGAGGGTTTGGTGGAGGAGGGTGAGGAGCGGGCGCTGGGTGAGGGGGCTCCCTTTCCGGGCATGCAGCCGCCACCCCAAAAGCGCCCCCGCCCTTCAACGGCCGCTGCGGCTGCGGACTCCTCGTTCCCTGGCACACCGCCGGCGGTGGCACGAGCAGCACGTGCGCGCCCTGGCATGCAGAGGAAGGCCAGGGAACCTCAACCGCAAGTCCCGCTACGAGTACTACAACCACAACCGCACGGCCCGCAACCCCAGCCGCGATCCCAACAGCAACCACCGCGTGTAACGGCTGGCGCAGCAGCTACAAGTCCGAGCCAGGAGCGGCCTGCACTGCAGCCGGAGCCCCATTTGAGATGCCTGACACAGCTCGCAGCGCTGCTTGACAGCCCCACCCCAGATGCTGCTGCTGCTGTGGCGGCGGCTCAACAGGCGGCGGTGGCGGCGCCCCCTCCAATTGACCTGGCTGGTGCGCAGCTGAGGGCGCCGCCGCTGTCAAGTCAGGGGCCGCTTCCCTGCCGCCTGCGCATCACCCGGCCCCACCTGGTTCTGCGCAACGGCGGGCTGCTGCTACCCCGCGGCTGCTGTCTGGAGGTGGCGGCGCCGGAGGTCGTGCTGGAGGGCCTGACCATTGCCACATGCGCCAAGGGTGGCGGCGGCGGTGGCGGTGGCGGCGCGGGAGGCAGCAACGACGAGGGGATTGCAGGTGTTGTGGAGGTCAGGGGTCCTGGTCGCATGTCCCTCTTGGGATGCACAGTGGAGGTAGAGAGCACGGGTGCACCGCATGGTTCGGGTTCCGCAGCTGGGGCAGAGGAAGGGAACGGCGGCAGCGGCAGCGGCCGCCTGAGCTGCGTGATGGTGACCGGGGGTGCAACGGCGGAGCTGGCCGGCTGCACGCTGAGGGGCGCCGGCGGTGTCGGACTGCTGTGCATTGCTGCCACCGCAGCAGCAGCCGACGCCACCGCCGTGGGTACTGCCACAGCTGCTGGTTCTGGCGGAGTCCTCAGCACCCGCGCCAACACGAAGGTTACAGTTACCGCCAGCCAAGCATGTGGCAACGTGGCGTACGGATTCTGCTGCTCCGGCCCTGGCGCCGTCCTGAGCCTAAGCAGGCACTGCCTGGCTGACGGCAACGGCGGCGGCGTTGCGGCGACCCACGGCGGCGAGGTCCATGTGGGCGAGTCGGGGTGCAGCGTGCACAACAGCCGGGCGGCGGACGGCGTCCTGGCGCATGGGCGGGGCTCACGGGTGGTGCTCGGAGGCGGCTGCGTGTCCGAGGGCAGTGCCGTCGGGTCGGGTTTTGCAGCTGCAGAAGGCGGCAGGCTGGAGGCAGGGGTTGGATGCACCGCGCTAGCTAACGCGTACGCCGGGTTCGCCGCATGTGGTGCGGGTTCCGTGCTGACCGCGGGCGCTGGATCGCGTGCGGCAGGCAACCGTCGGAGCGGTTTCCTTGCGCGGGAGGGAGGGAGTCTCACGGTGGGTGAAGACAGCCAGGCGGCTGGGAACGGCGTGGCGGGATTCATGTCGTACGGCGCGTACAGCGTGCTGCATGCCAAGCCCCGCTGCATCGCCAAGGGCGGCTCCGACGCCAGGTGTCAGCAGGGAGAGGCAGGGGGGGTGGGGGCGCCCAGCAGCGCAGGCTTCATGGCGCAGGCTGGTGGGGTGTTGCTGGCGGATGAGGGCTGCCAGGCGTGTGGCAGCTGCCAGCAGCCGGGGTACGTGGTTGTAGACGCAGGCAGCAAGATGGTTCTGGGGCGCGGCAGCAGCGCCAGGAGCAATGGCGACGCGGGCTACCTGGCCACCCAGCGGGGCGTCATGCAAGTGGGACCGGATGGGGTGGCGGAGGGGAACGGTACAGAGGGCTTCTGTGCGGCTGGGGGAAGTCTGACGCTGGGCGGGGGATGTGTGGCCCGCGAAAATGCGGGGGACGGTTTCAGGGCTTGCCGGGAGGCGGATGTGGAAGAGGAGGAGGGGGCTGGTAATGGTGCGGCCGCTGCTGCAGAGGCCATTTGCGCATCTGCTTCTGCTTCTTCCTCCCCCCGGGTGAGCTGCTTGCCTCGGACGGCGGCTGTGTTGCGGAGGACAACGGCGGCTGGGGCTTCCTTGTCGAGCACGCGGGGTGCAGGATGGTGGTGGGGCGGGGCTGCCGGGCAGCTGACAATGAGGCGGGTGACGGCTTTGAGGCCAGGTTTGGAGGGGAGCTGGAGCAGCTCTAAAAGGGGCTTACTTGCCTGGGAGCTTATGCTAGGTGAAGGCCGGACGGGCGGTAGTATGGGGAGCTGCGAGGGAGGGTGCATGCGCGAGGGAGAGGAAGACGATAAAACCAAGTCGCCAGGGAAAACGGGGGCAATTGTGTTGTATTGTAGCGCATTAAGGGTGTTGCAGTTGTGAAAGGTACCGGCACTGGGGTCCATGGCCTGTGGTGTCGTGTCGTGGCTTGCGTTGCCAATGCTAGGTACTACATGAATGAAGTGTAGTGCCATGGGTTGGTGGTTAACCAGTTCTCCGGGGCCGCGCTGCACAGGTTCACTGTGGTTAGGTGTTTTGACAATCTTTGAAGGGCTGCCAATAACTCCAGCACAAGGGAAGGGCAAAGAGCGCGTGCCCTATCTAAGGGCTGCCCACGGGGCTGCGGGATACGCCCGTTTTGTGGGATTCTAGCCTAAAATGCGTCGCGGCGGCGGCTTCCCTTAGAATTCTTATGAATAGGAGGACGATACATAAGTATCTCTGCTTGGGCGCGATAGCGCCTCACCGTCAAACTGGTAAGCACCAGTACAGAAGATGCTACAAGCTTAGAGCTCGTAATGTCCAGCGAGCCAGAAGGATCGTGGAACACCGACCATGCGAACACAGGAAAACGGAAGTCATATAAATTGGCTGAAGACGCTGAGTAACCAACGTACGACAGCTCGACAAGCTGCAGATGTCGCCCGGAAACACACCTCGCTTGACAAGTAGCATTTTGATAGTTGCCTTTACATACTGTGGTAGCTGAAAATTGGTTTGTTGGCAATGTCACAACAAAGCTCCTTACCAACTGCTGCTGTTTAGCAATGGCCTGAAGACCGATATCTCCACATATTTGTAGCCATGATAAGGGAGTCCTACTCTAACGCTTTGCAGCTTCTGCCTTGCTATGGCTTATTAATGGGTGCGCCTTTCAGCGCCTCTTGAGTGACAGGATAGCAAACATACGTGCCACAATCAGATAGCCTACTGTGCATCCAGCTGAAATGGACGCAGCTGCACTGTTACCGGCGGCTTGGTGGAATTCGGTTCTGGCTTCCACCAAGGTAAACCGTGCAGTTGGCGTAGCCAAATGCTTGAGTCAACGCTGGGCAACGTGTTAAAGCTTAGCATGGTCTTTCTATGCGCTGGCTGCAGGGCTTCCGAAATGTCATACGCAGTTATCCGTCAACATTGCTTTTTCCGCTCCTTCTCTTCGCCTTGATATGCGGCGTCGGAGTATGGGGTGTAACACGTGGAGCACAGTTAAGCGCGGAAAGTGCCAAGGTATGCTACTGGGCGTTTGCTTTCATCTGGTTGCCATGACTACCAGCGTGCCATCTATGCACAAAACACCCTTCCTGCAGATCCACGCCGAGTCCTTGGCCACCGACGCCGCCCAAGCTTATCAAAAACAGCTTTCTGTGCCCCTTTCGTTGACACAAGTGCTGGCTTCTATGGTTGCTGGTAACCCTCAGTACGACACTGTTAAGTACCTTTTCAACGCAACAGCCAGTGCATTGGCCTCCGCAGTAAGTAGGGCCATGCGTAGCCTGGGCTCGTTAGACGGGTTCTGAGCATTGCAGTGAGAGTCCAGTCATGACAGGACGCCGGCGCCACTTGCGTGCCACCCACGGCCCGAGCTTCTCGTACTCTCGCTCACGGCAGACGACGCCTTACCTGCAGGCTCCAGCTCAATCCTTACAAGCGCTGCAGCTGGTTCCGGCGGGTGTCATTCGCCTTGTATACCCTGCCGAGGGCAACGAGGGTTTGACAGGAGTGGACCTGTTCAAAAGTAAGTGACTGGCGCGGCAGGCAGCATTGGCATCGCGAAACCCCAGCTCCGCCTGCTTACGCGTACGCTGCGTTTCACGGTACTTGCACTACAACGTCGCATTTTCAGGCTTTTTGTCGGTTGCGTCGCGCTGCCTCCGCTTTGTTCGGCCAGTCTCTTCTCAGTCAAGGACCGGGCCAATACATTGAGCTTGACCGCCCTCTCTTCCTTTCTGCAGTACAAGATGCCGCATTTTTGGAAACGCTTCGGTTCTCTGTATCAGACCTGCGGCCTGCGCTGGACGGTCCGTTTTCACCAGCCATCCGGTCCAAGACATTGGAGCATGCTGAGCAATTGGTCGTATTTCGCAAGTCCATCTTCGTGCCCACAACGAACCCGAATGAGACATTTGGATTCCAGGACTCGCCCAATCCCCTTTGCGGGGACGCTTGCGGCTATAACGCTACCACAGGGGTCAAGTGGTGGGGCTTTGTAAGTGGGGGCACTGCGAGGCAGACGTTTGCATCAGGAGCTGACCCATTTGTCAGGTTTAGGACGGATTAGGCAACCCAGCCCTCTTGTTGCCCTTGACTTTGTACAGTGGAGCTGGAGTTTAAGCAGTGTTGCCGCCCTTGTACGCCCTTGTTCGAAAGGCCTGGCGAACGCCTTTCGAACGGTCAGCGGCCTGAGTCAAAGCCGTGCCGCGGTGCAGCAGCACCTGTACTCTCTTGAGCGCTGCGCTGGGTGCGGCAGGCGGCAGGCGGCGTCCCTTCCAATTACCCTCTCCCGAGACCTCCTAACCCACCCTTTTTCTCCCTCCTGCCGCATGCAGACCGCCATCTTAATGGCTCTGGACTCGGAGGGCAGCCCCGTGGGCAGCGGCGGGGAGTCCTCGCCCCTGCGCACCCTGGCCAGCAAGGGCTACCGCTACACCCTGACGGCGCCGGTGTCCGGGGTGGCGGGCAGCGAGGGGGAAGCGGTGGTGGTGGCGAGGTCAGGCAGCGGGAAGCCGCATGACCCCGTGGAGGTGGTCGTGCAGCTGGGCAGTGTACAGGTGAGGTTGACGGGGAGGAAAAGAGTTGCGCATGGGACACGTCGTCCTCGCCATGTGTTGCACCATTGTGAGGGTGGGGAGGAGGCTGAGGGTTTAAAAGGGAAGAACAAGGGGATACGGAGGCTGGGCAAGCGCGAATTTACGCCCGCGAACTTGCTGCAGGACCCCGTTCCTTGCGCCTTACGCATCCTCTCCTCCCTCTCTCTATTTCCCTGCACCGGCTTGTTCCAATGGCAGTGGTACCTGCGTGTGGGGCCCGGCGGCGACAGCTGGTGGCCCCGCTGGTACGGCGGCATCGTGGCGGTGGTGGTGTTTGTGGCGGCCTGCGGAGCGGTGCTGCTCTTCCTGCTGCTGGTGTCCAGGTGGGCGGGGAAATGGGGTGCAGGTGCATACGTGGGGGTTGCATCGGGGAGTGGGGCGTGGTGCAGTGGGGAGTGGGGCGCAGGTGCATACGTGTGGGTTGCATCCTGGGCAGGGGGGGCATGGTAGGGGGCGAAGCAGGTGCTGGTGGCAATCGATGGCAGCCGTCCCCTGGTGGATGGCAACCTGCCGTTGAAGTTGCATCTTGAGCTGCCCTGCATGTCGACCTTCTGCTGGTGCTCCCCAGGCGGCGTCACAAGCTGCTGCTGGAGTCGCTGCTGCCTCGGGAGCTGATTCGGGACCTCCAGGCGGAGAACACGGACGTTTTGGGACATGCTCGGGTGTCCAAGACAGGTACGCGCATTTTCATACGGGTATACATTCTTGGATTGTTTCTAGCATCTGCCCACAGGTTCCTCAACGTTCTGCACGTAATCTATTTGAACTAGGAGGGAACTTCCAAGCAAGATTTACTTTCCCGATGCTGTCGCGCGCCTCGCGGCTGGAGCCTTTCCTACTGTCTGCAGCATTTTCCCACGTCCCTTTCCCTCCCTTCCTCCTCGCCCAACAGACAGCCCCGCTGAGCTGCTGGTGGCGCTGCTGGGCTGCCTGCTGTCCGGTCAGCCGCCCGACATCCGCGACGTGGTGCACCTGCGCACGGTGCTGCAGCGCGGGGAGGACGTGTACCGCCCGCTGGACCTGGGGGGGCGCATCAAGGGGGCCAACTATGATGTGAGTAACGGTTGTGTAAGGGTTGGTGGGTTTCGGAAGTGCGGTGGCCGAAGTACGGTAGCCGACTGGAGTGTACTGGTTAGTAGGACTGATGCTCCGGAGGCGGCCTCCATACACAAGACAAACTGCAATGTACAGGGTCTGGAGCACTGGGCCCGCTCATTGCCGCTGGGGGCTTTTCATGCCCACTCGTCTCAGACGTAGTTCAGCGTCCCAAGACGTACCGTTCTGCCGTGTCCAGGCCCCGCCCACGCTCCCTCCGGATCGCTCACGACCCCCATTCCACCCTCCACTCACATACGTACCCGTAGACCGACGTGGCGCGCGCCCTGATGCGGCAGCTTGGCGGCGCCACCGACATGCCCGGTCTCGTCAGCTACGAGTGCAGCCAGACAGGCAACGACCGCTGCCCCCCGCCCGCAACCCGCTCCGCTGCTTCCCTGCACCACACCCTCCGCAGCGGTCCGCAAGACGAGCCGCTCATCCTGCTGCTGTCCACTCCCCAGCAGCGCGAGCAGCACCTCCGGCAAGCGTGTCAGAGCCTGCGGGGCGCGCTGGACTACATCCTCCTGGGTACAGGGGAGCAAGAGGACGAGGACGAGTCTTCTCCTCTGCCGCCGCAGCAAGCACAGCTGGCCTCTGCCTCGGCTGTGCGGGTGCGGCGGTCCGTCGACTTTAGCGTTGCGGACGTGAGCGCGGTGGAGGCGGGGTCAGATGGGGCGGATGGGCTGGGCCCGGAAATCAGGGTGCCGGCGGCGGTTCTGTGGGGCCGGCTGGGCAGCGAGCGCGAGAGAGGTGGGGACAGCGGCGCGACCGAGGGCGTGTCGGCGGCACAGCAGCAGCAACAACAGGCGGGGCTCTTGCCGGTAAGGAGGGGCTCCGGTTCCGGAGTCGTGCCGCGGATAGGGGCTTTGCTGGGCTTGGAGCAGCACCCGCAGCGTGAGGCGCGGTCACGTAGGAGTTCAGGTGTTGGGCTGTATGGCTGGCGCTTAAGCGTTGCGGGGCAGCCGCTACCAGAGGGAAACCCGCGTCTCGCAATGTCTGTGCGCTGCGGACCGGGAGCACTGCACGACCCTGCCGGCGGCGGTGGTGGCGGCGGCGGCAGTCGCCGGCCGAGCTATGTGCGTTACGGCTCGCCGCGCCCTGGAGCTGCTGTCCCGGCGGAAACTTCGGTTCCTGCTGGGGCTGCGGCTGCTGCTTTCGCCTGTGCTGCTCCCGGTACGGAGGGTTGTGGAGGGCCTGCGCCGCTGTCGGGCGCAGGCGCGGAGGTACAACATGGTCACGGTATGGGGCAGGGCTCCCCCGTGCGGCACTCCCCGAGGTGTGGCTCTCCCCGGTCGGCTCTGGCGCACCCTTCCGGGCGGGGCAGTGCTGAGCGGCTGCAGCAGCTGCGGAATCACCCTGACCCCGCGCAGCTCAGCCGAGCCATGCTCATGGGCCGCCGCGGCAAGCGCAGCAGCGGAGGGGGCGCCGGCAGCGAGCCCGCGGCTGCCGCCAGCGCTATGGGGTCGTCCGAGGCGCCCACCACAGGGGCTGTGCCGGGAGGGGCGCTGGGGGATGCGCCACCGCCCCAGCGGCCGTTAGTGGAGGAGGTGCGTGTTGTGGCAAGCAGGCGGGGAAGGTTCGGGTACAACAGTTGCTGGTAGCACCGGTAATGGGGTGTCATGCTGCTAGCACGCTGTAAGATGGGTTCTGTGGCGTTTTGCCATCTCGCCACGTGTTACCCGCGTTACAGCTTGTTTCATGCTGCCGCATGTAAGGTTGTTGCCACAAACCTACAGCCACAAACACGACGCTGTTTCTTGCCTGCCTGCTGCCCTCCCACTGCCTTTCCTTCTGCTCTGCCCACCAATGCCCACAGGTGGAGCGGCTGCTGAGCTGCTGCGACGAGTGGCAGTACGACATGTGGTCGCTGCAGGAGGCCAGCGGGGGGCACGCGCTGTCGGTGCTGGGCTTCTTCCTCATCCAGCGGGCGGGGCTGGTGGAGCGATTCCACATCGAGCCGCTCAGGCTGGCCAGGTGGGTTCGGTGACTGAGCCGCGACAAGTGCTGACCTTGGAATGCAAGAAGGTGATGATGTCCCAGATGTCTAGGTGGCCAAGTGGGGTTGAGGTAGCTTGGAGTTTGAGTGGGTACCCAACCGCTGATACCGTAGCGGTCCAGCTTGGGTTGCTTTCCCTGTACCGCCATTGAAGCGGGGTGTTGACCTCAAGGCCATCGAAATGTGTAGAAACAGAGAAGAAGCCTTGATCGTAACCCGGGCTGAGCACGTTCTCCCTGCTGCTTTGTGCTCTCCCTGTTTTCTAGGCTGCTGCGCACCGTTGAGGGCGGCTACCTGTCCTCCAATCCGTACCACAACTCCGTACACGCGGCCGACGTGCTCCGTACGCTGCACGTGCTGCTTCGCGGCGCCCGCCTGACCGCCCACTACCTGGACCCGCTGGGGCTGCTGGCGGCGTACTTCGCGGCGGTGGGGGGGGGAGATGGGAGGCGGGGGGTGGAGTAGTGGTTAAGAGGGGGGAGAGGTTGGCAAGGAAGGAAACATGAAAGACGTACTTATGATTGCAACAAGGAAAGCCGCCCCAGAGGAGTGGATGCGAGCTTGCAAGGAAGCGCTGTACTCGGGTGTAGGTCGAGGTACCTGACCCGCATGTGTGCTGCCCTTCATGGCGACATGCACATGCAGATGCGCGTGTGTGGGCGCCACATGTGCCACATCCTCCCGTTCCTCCATCTCATCCCCCTCACTCCCTGTCCTCTGCCGCTCTTTTCTTCCTCGGCCCCCTTCCCTCCCTCCTCCCGCCCCCTCACCAGATCGTGCACGACTACGGTCACCCGGGCCTCACCAACGACTTCCTAACCGCCACCAGCCACCCCCTCGCCCTGCGCTACAACGACCGCGCCCCCCTGGAGAGCCACCACGCCGCCGCCGCTTTCTGCCTGCTAGCGGAGCGCCCCGAGCTAGACGTGCTGGCAGCGTTGTCGCGGGCTGAGCGTGCGGCGCTGCGCAAGCAGGTGATTGAGATGGTGCTGGCGACCGACATGAAGCAGCACTTTGCGGTGCTGGCTCAGTTCACTACGGTGCACCGGTTGGCTAGCGGGAAGGCGTCGGTGGGGACGACGCCGGCGGCGACGGAGCCGGTGCCGAGCAGCTGCAAGGGCTCGGCTGGCGACGACTGGTAGGTAGGGGTGGTGTTAGTTAAGGTGGTGGTGGTGGTGCTTGGACCCGCGGGTCATGGATCCATCTTGCCTGGCTTGTAGCGTCCAGGTTATTCTGCCAAGCAACTCCCGCTTGACATTGGACACGCGTGTTCAGTTTGCAATTATTCCGTTTTTCCATTGCCACTGTTTCCCCAGCGCCCTTGTTGGCCGTCCATCTGCTGCCCATGAAAGCGAGGGCCCTGTGCCGCTGGACGAGGCGGAGCGCCTGCTGAGCCTGCAGGTAGCCTGGGAGGGAGAGGGGGAGCGGGGGCTTGGGGCTGCTAGCTATGGCTTATGACACAGCATTGGCATTCCCGATGACATGAAATGCAGCATGCCGTAACGCTCGACTCGTATGGGTTTGTTAGACTCGGGGTTTGGGACACCTAATGAAAGAAAAGGTATAATGCGTTGACTGAGTGCATTTTGTATCTGCATGCCAAATTGCTTTGCCTGTGCTAGCCAGCCATGCTTTAGAGCTCCTTATTCCTGCCAAGATGTCAATGCGGTCGCCCCGATCCATCCATTGGCCCCTCCCTGCATCCATCCGCCCCCCTAGGTTGCACTCAAGGTTGCGGACCTGGGTCACCTGGGAGCCAAGCTGGAGACGCACAAGCGCTGGCTGGCCGGCCTGGAGGAGGAATTTTTCCGGCAGGGCGACATGGAGCGGCAGCTGGGGCTGCCCATCAGCCCGCTGTTCGACCGGGCCAAGCAGGGCGTCAGCAAGAGCCAGGTGAGGGCGGGGGCCCCTAAGGTAGGGGCATACCGGCACCGGTGTGGAGGCGGCGGCCTGAGCTTGCGCATGCGTGCATACGTGGGTTATTCTGCCATGGCCGCATCTGCGGCTCCCAAGTTCCTGTCTAGCGCCTCCCGTGAAGCACTCCCCAGACGCACGGGCGTCTCCTTACTACGCATTGCCCGCCTTTCTCGCCACCTCCCCCTGCCATGCATGCCTCCACTCCTTCCCTCCTCCCTCCGTTCCTGCTGCCAGGTCGGCTTCTACGACTTTGTGGTGTTGCCACTGGTGAATGCGGTGGTGGGCGCCTTCCCTGGAGCCGAGCCCCTGGTGCGCTGCTTCGAGGCCAACTACCGACACTGGCAGGAAGTGGAAGGCACGGCGCCGCCCTCTGCGCCCAGCGGTAGCGAACCGGCACCGTCCATGCCGCCGGTGTCAGGGACCGGCAAGGGAGCCTCCGGTGCGGGTGGCGGTGGCCCGGTGGACGTGGTGGCGGTGGTTCCGATCATGGTGCGCGAGAGTGCGGATCGGGGGAGGGAGGATCGCAGTGTTCGTGGCCGGAGCCGAAGGGCAGTCAGCGGGGAGTAGTGGTGGTTCGAAGGGGGTGAAGGAGCAAATGCGTTCCGAGTCGAAGGAAGTTAGTTGTAGGCATATGGGGCAGGGCGAGTCCTTGTATTCTGTTTTCACATGTACTCCATGTGATTGATTCTATTGCGCACAGTCCATTGCGCATAGTAATGTACCGATAGTAGGAAAGCGACTAGGTTCGTGGCTTCGTACTGGTCCGAGGGGGTGCTTCAGGGCCGGTGGTTCACCGGGACCCGCTCGTGTGTGGGTGCGGCATGGGTGGGAAATGGGTTTACGTTGGCAGTCTGTTTCCTGGTTTGAGTACGGGTCCATTGTGCCCGCTGGGTAGCATGTTTTGCTCGTCACTCGGGTGGGACTTCATTTCGGTGAACACGTGTAGCCGGCTGGTATGGGCGCCGGCCAGGGATCCGGTGCCTAGCTCCACACCCGCTTAATAAGTTTTGGGTTCTTGGTCTGCAGCGTTGGTTGTTCAAGGTCTATGGACCTGGGTGAAAACAAGATCTTGAATCCGGTCTTACGGCATGCTTGGTGTGTAGTGCTTTGGTCAAGTCTTACATAACGTTCAATGTCTTGTTTATAATATATTGTTTGTGAGACACGTGAGCAAGGAAGGAACTAATACAAACAAGGGCAGGGTTTCCCCTAGTTTCATTGCTGCCCTTGAATGCTTTCTGTACACGCGGGTAACTTTCAATAGACTTGGGGTGGATGGGCGTGCGGAAGTAATCCCAGTCTCGCTTGTACGGATAAAGATGCCCCGGGAGTGCAGTGCAGGGCTCAGGGCGTCTATACGCCGAAGCGCTTGCGGCGTACGGTATTCTGCGTACTGGGATATGTAGTATACTCATGGCAAGGCTGCAGCAGCAGATGGTTGCGGCTTCCGGGACGGTAACTTGGATCATGCGCACGTTTGGGATTTTACCCTCCCTGGGTTGGAAATGTATGTCAATCATCCTGCACCACTAATGGGATGGCGGCACGTCTTGCGTATTCGTGTTTACAACCTTCAACAACAACTTGGATACCTTTCCGTGGCAGGGGTCAAGCACGAAAAAGCGCGCTGCGCTTACTACTAGAACAGCTTTCTAATCAAACGTTTACCGTATAGTACTGCTATACCACAGAGCAACATACGCGCCATGCAGCTCAGAAACGCTTCGCCCATCAGCACTGCTGGATAACGACTACAGAAAGGCAAACATTTCAGGTAGGTGTAGCCATGAATAGAACATAGACCCATGGGTCTGAAAAGTACCAATTCCGAACACCCCAGGGAAGGGCCACGAGTAAATACCGGTATATACTAGCTTCGTTCCGATTTGACACCAACGCCAAAGAAGTGGACAAGCTCTTCGCAAATAACTCCGAAGACTGACAAGTAATACTGCAAGTACAACAATGCGTAGGACTTGTTGGACCAAAATCATGTTTTGCCTTGGTTTTAAACAATGCTCATTGTTGTACGGACCCAGTGCCTATCCTCATACAAATTTTACGAACCCTTCGCAAAGTCCTCTATGTCACGACGGCTACACACCAACAAGATGAACATGACAGGTAGGATAGCAGCATGAAAGAGATGATAGCAACGACCGTGATCGGCAAAAACTATCCACTCCTGCGGTCCCCAAATAGTGCAAGTTAGGCGACCGATAAACGAATAACGCTGGACGGCCGCCGTGAGGCTTCATGTTACGTGTACTGCAGTCCTGTCGCATCGTGTTGCCGTAACAATCGACATTATAATGCATTTCCGAAACCTACCGGATACAATTACTGCCGCAGCTATGAGTACTATAAAGCCCCGAAATACACATACGGCTCAGTCCATGGGAACTGCCGCTTGCAGTGACATGCTTAGCATGGGAAGACCGCTTTGCAATGGCCCCCTCTCAATACTCCCACTCCATCAATACCAGCCACGTATGCCCGGGAAACTCACTATCATGACACTCTGTGGAAACCGGGGTCCTAGTCCCCCTGTATAATTTCGTCCGTAACGCGGACATGAATTTATTCGATTATTTACGGAGGGTAGGCCCATATTATGAATTGACGAGAGTCATGTAATACCTTCATGCGAACTGCATCAAAAGACACGTGCTGTATTCCCACTCATGGCTACTCATGGCCACTCAACTCCCACTTGGCAATCCAACGGCAGAGGTGGCTGCAGAACCAGATATCTCCCGGAAGTGCCTCAGGAGCATGGCAGGGTGCACACTCCGTTCCTAGCTGCGCCACACTCGTTCTCTATTAATCCTCCAAACACTTTCGTACGACAGGAACAGCTGCAGTACTCACAACCTGCCAAAGCCGTCATCAGACATAGGCAGAACTCAAACCAGAACCAATACATGACGTTGGCCTTCCCGTGTGCTCTCATCAATATTACAACGCACCCAAGCACATGCCTTTTAGCTCAAGCAAACAAGGTGTGCCTTACTGACGCCGCAAGCCCAGCCTTATACGGCTACCGTACTTCCCCCTACCAAGCGATAGAAGGCCGCTCCCTTCCCCACGCTTCCAACTCCAGACGGCGGTCCTTACGAGCCAGCCAGGTCTCCTCCCTAGCGCCCCCGCCCCCCCTGCTGCGCCCCCACCTGCGCCAGGAACCTCCTCCGCCAGCGCAGGTCCACCACCGCCGCCAGCGCCGCAGACAACAGCACAACCCACACAGCCGACACCGCAGCAGCCAGCCAGGGCGCCCACATCCCACCGTTGCCGTACAGCCCTCTGCGCCCGTTGCGGACACCGCCGTACAGCAGCGTCAGCAGCAGCGCGTCAGCCAACCAGCAGCGCTTGGCGCAGTTCACGTGGACCTGCAGCCGCAGGCAGCGGGCGAGCGAGCGCGCAAAGTGAGGAGCCAGGGGGAGGAGTTGAAGGGCGGTATGACGTGTGGGTAATGGCACGACATCATGTTGGCAGCCTTGCCGCAACAGACGACACGAACACTTGCCCCTCCAGCCGGCTGTAACGTAGCCCCCTCCCGCACAGCTCCACGGCCCCATATGCGCCTCCCTCCCCCACACACCCCACTCACGCTGTAGGACGCGGGCTGTACGACCACCATGACCGCCGCCAGCGCCCGGCCCGTCAGCAGGGGCTGCCCCGCGGGGTTGGCGCACGCGACGTACAGGCACAGGGCGAGCAGGGAGGCGGCGTGCGCGAGGAGGATGCAGGGGTCCCGCAACCTGGGAGGGAGCGGACACGGGGACACTTCAACGTACAGGCACGGAATAGCAGGACGTCGTGGGCTACGGTGCAGCAATTCACCGGCAGCTGCGAGGCGAGCGGTAGGTGCTGCTACCTGCAATCCCCACCCGCCCGCTTACCCGGGGCTGCTCAAGCGCCTGCGCACCACCAGCGCGACACCCGGCAGCACCAGGCAGCAGCACAGCAGCACCAGCTCCACCACCGCCCAACCTGGCAGCAGGGGCCGCAGCGGCACGCGGGTGGGCAGCGCACCTCCTCCACCTCCACCTCCACCCCCACCGCCGCTGCTGCCGTACCGCTGCCAGCCAGCAACGGCCGCCGCCACCGCCAGGGCTAGTAGCGCGTTGAGGGCGAGGACGGCCCGGTCCCGGCTGCCCGCCTCGCGGCACCGGAAGGAAGTGCACTCATGCTCCAGACCCGGCTCACTGTGTAGGGCGGCGAGGGGGTAATCCAATTAATTGGCCCCAAGTGAAACAGAGGCCATGGTCCCACGGAGGATTTCTTAGAATGGGGGGCGAGTGGCGAGTAGCAGCAGCAGTGGCATGGCATACCAAGGAGCAAGGCCAGCATGACTGGACGCTGGCTGGGTACCGGTACGGGGCAGGCGCGTGGGCAAAAGAGACAGAGGAGCTCAGAAACAACAGCCCCGTTAGTTCGGCCGGGTAGGGTCGCCCCGCCCGTAAGAGACATAGGCCGTCAGGTCCAGCAGGTCTGCTGGCACCTTGCGCAATATGCTGCAGCAGCAGTCACTTTCCCTAATTCTCCGCTGCATCACCTCATCCTCTTACAGAAACCCTAACCCTGCATGCAACCCAAAATTGGGTCCCAAAACTCACGGCATACATCGCACCTGAAGCCTGCAAACACAACAGAAAGCGCCACGACCGAACGCTGCCGCCGCGAGCCCGCCCCTGCCGTCGCCATCTCCCTCGTGCGGCGCTGGCTCGGCCTAGCAGCGCCGCCTGCCGCCTCGTCTCCAGCGGCCGTAGGCGAGGTGCTGCTGCTGCTGCTTCCCTCACCTCCCAGCTTTTGCTGCGGCTGCTGCTTCCGCCGCTTCCGCAGGACGGCTCCTCCTCCCTCATCGTCGCCAGCGGCTCCTGCAGCCGCAGCAGCAGCTTCGTTGCGGGTTGTAGCGGCACTGCCCTCTTCTGCGACTGAAGCATCCCCACCGCCGTCAGCGGCGTTGTCGTCAAGGGGTCTCGGTGGTTCAGCAGCTCCGGCGGCGACATCGTCTTCCGGCTCCAACAGTAGCTCTTGGTTTACAATAAGACCTATGGGGCCGTAGGGCCGTAGGGCCGTATAGACATACATGGGCACACATACATGTCCGCATGGCAGGATTCGGGAGGTCAGGGAGCGTCCGGAACATGCGTCGGACTGCCCGCTGGCTTGTCAGCAGGGCGCGGAGGCACCTACACACGCTCGCCGCAGCAGTGCAAACTTGCATGTTTCCTATTTACGGCATTCCCCCTTATGACTGCCTCGTCTCACTCCATGTCTAGAAACCTCCGCTGAGCTCCCCTATCAATTGATGCCTCTGATAACCCTACCCGCAACCTCCCTCCCCCGCCTGACCTGCAGCCTGAACCTCATTCAGCACGTATTGCAGCGTCGCCCTCATCTCCATCTTCCTCAGATAGCCCACTAGCCCCGCTCCCAGCTGCTGCAGCTCGCCCATTAGCAGTTCCTGCTCCTGTTCCTCAGTTCCAATCTGCGCTGCCATCGCCACCGCCCTCTCGCAGCCCAGCAGCAGCGACACCATGTCCGACACGAGCGAGGAGAAGTGCTGCGTGAAGGCGCGAGCCCGGGTGACCCGCGGGTCGGTGTCCGGCGGGGCTGCGGCGGCCGCCTCCCACTCCATGTCTCGCATGAGGCCGCACAGCTCTTCCGCCACCGCCGGAGGAACCACCGCGAAGGGGGTGTACAGCAGGGCCGCGACGGTGGGGGGTGCGGGCTGCGGGGTGGCGGGCCCTGCCGCCTGCCCCCCGCCCTGCCCCCCGCCCAGCCCCGCATCCGGCCCCCGGTACGGCAGCACCAGCAGCGCAGCACTGCCCTCGACCAGACACGACAGGTCCAGGCTGCAAAAACATTAAGAGGAAAAGAAGTGTGTAAGTGGCGACAGCGGCCATTCCGTCTGCTGCCTAGAGGCAATGAACATTCAGGCTCCGTGGTGCACATACAATACCGTACCTTCACGATATCATCGCGCAAAAATAAATAATTATTTCAGAAAATGTGCAGTTTCGCGCAAAATTAAATAATTGCTGAAAGGGGTGCGCGAAACTGGGGAAACCCCTCAGGACCCTTCCCCGCACCCCCAACATGCCCCAGCACCCCGTCAGCTCCGCTGCCCAGCCCCGGGCTGCATGCTAGTATGCCCCATGGAATACATAGCGGTATTTCTAAAGCTGTCTTGAGGATCTGGGCTTACATGGATGGGTTCTTACAGTCAAAATGCAGTGGTGGACATGAGCTGCGCGAAGCTGAAAAATAATTCCTGACACCCCTGCGCGAGCTTGAAAAATAATTCCATCTAATGGGGCTGCGCGATGATCACCCGAAGGTACGGTACCTACACATTGTAAGCTACCATGCTATCCCGGCTGTGCCATCTTGAACCACCTCCCCTGTCGCCACCCACCTGACACTGCCTCCCTCCGGTCCCACCCGCACTCGCTCCTCCTCCGCCACCACCACACCGTGCTGCTTCACCACCACGCGCACGTCGGCGAAGGGAGGGGCAGCAGCAGGGGCCCTGTCACCGCCTCCCGCTTCACTGCCGCCCGCATCCGGACCGCCTGCAGCGGCGTCTGTGACTCCTCCCCCTGCAGTGTCCAGGAACAGCTCCAAGCGAACCCGACGGGAGATGCTGCTGCCGGCCGCATGCTGCTCGGCGGGTTGGCTGGCTGCGCCCTCACCGCCCCGCATTACCGCCAGTACGGGCGGCTGCATGTGCGCCACCAGCGGCACCGCCCGCACCCCGGGCTGCAGCAGCGCCACCAGGAGGGGCTCGCCCTCCTCCTCCGCAACCGGGCCCGCCGCCGCTGCTGCCTGCCTTTCAGCTACTGCTGGGTCCTCTGCGGGCTCGGCGGGATCTGCAGGTGCTTCCGGTGCTTCGACGAAGGCGGCTGGTGCTGCAGGCGCTGCCGCCGCCGCAGCAGGCGGTCCGGTTGTTACCACCTGCTGCTGCAGCTCCCGCTCCAGGGCTGAGAGACCGCGGGAAAGCGTTTCATCGTCCAGATCGGCTCCCGTGTACTGCAGCAGCAGCACAACAGCAGCATCGTGAGGAGCAGGAAGAGACGCAGCATTAGGGGTAACGTCTGAGTGCCCCTTCTCCGCCTGCACATGCATGGGCCCCTGGCCGCTCTTCCCCGCCCGCACATGCATGTGCCCCTCTTCCTCTACCGCGCATACATGCGCCCCTTTTCCCCGCCCGCGCATGCATGTACCCCTTCTCCCCGCCCGCACATGCATGCACAAGACTCCCGCCCCCGCACCTGCAGCCGGAGGACCACCTCGATGCAGCCGCGCAGGCAATCTACTTGGGCCGTGGCGCCAAGCCAGCGGCCACCGCGATTAGGCGGCGCCAAGACGGCAGCTGCGGCAGCTGCGGCAGCGGCGCGGGCTTTAGGGCTTCGGTCGTCCAGGGCGGCGTTCATGGCGCCTTCCACCGCCCTGTGTGCGGAGGACAGCAGCTGCGACTCCACCCGCTTGTACGGCACACCGGCGGGGTATCTCAGCTGCGATGGATGGGCGAGGCGCAAAATGGGAAAGGGGCATTGTTGAGGAGGTAACGGGCAGCGAATGCGTAATAAGTCCGTTGCTCTTGCCGCATCTATTGCTAAGCAAGCTCCACCATCGCGGCATTTACACGCATATGGACCCCGTCTTCTTCAGAGGACGGCGCCGCCATACCAAGGCATTGTGTAGAGCTTATGCGGTACCGGTAACAGGAAATGCTTCATTAATAAACAACCGGGGCCACACGGCGCCTTCTAACTACGGTGCCTTCCCCCCCTTCACAGTCCCACCGAGCCACCACCCCAAACCGGTCCGGCCGGTTCTGGCTCACATCTTTGGTGCAACACTTGTATGCCGTACCTTCATTCTCGCAATTACGTGTAGCATAGGGGAGCGGTACCGCCGGCGGGAGGACCGTAAGCTTGTGGCGTCGCGGCCGTCGCCGCCGCCAGCCAGACCAGTGTTGTACGTGGTGCCGCTATCGCGGTGCGCGGCGCTTCTGCTGCGGGTGCTGCCTCTATCTTCGGTGTTGCTGACGCTGTTGCCAACATCGCTACTGCTTATGCTTCTGGCCGTTCCCGGCGTAACAGGTTGCTCCCAGACAAGCTCCTGGGAACTATTGGTGCTGCGGCTACTGGCACTGCTTCGTCCGGGGCTTCGGTCGCGAGTGCTGCTGCCGACCGCAGAAGCAGCTCTCGCGCTGCTGGTGAAGAAGGCTTGGTTGGTGACAGGAAAAAATTGTCCACGCTTGCTGATGGGTCGCATACCGTGCATCCTGGCTGCCTCGCGCACTGTGGAAAGCGGCAAGGATTGGTCGGCGGTTAGTGGTCGGCTGGCGCAACGTTGCTTCACGGCATGCCATATGACAAATCCTCAATATTGCTACCTATGTTTACGCAAGCAAAAGCTGCTAAAGCAAGGCCTCGAGAGAAGCCATATGACAGTTGTCGACGCACCACGCGTTGCTATATCACGTGGGTAGATACCTGCAGCGCTTCCCGGTTGGCGTACCGAGGCTACCTTGTGTGTGTGAACTAGCTAGGCAGCTCTTCTTAGGTGCCAAGAGCTATGGTGCATGTAGCACTGCTGTGCTGTAAGCAGGTCGCTTAGGCAAGTAAAAGAACGTTGACTACACGTGTTCAGCAAACAACAGTTTTATTTTATTATTGTGTAGCCGCTTTAGTATTTATTATATACCTGCGCCGACATTTCCTCGGATTTGCGAGCGACGGTTGGTCACGTGTGCACGTGGCAACGACCTCCCAAATCTAGTACGCAGCTACACATTAGGGGCCTCTTCCATCTTCCACACAAGCATTGAATTTCCTTATATATATGTGCTATGTTGCTCTTGTGGAAGTTGCTATTGCAATTGTTTGAGCACGTGGCACATGTCTAACCACCCCAAATCTAGTACGCACAGGGCCCCTCTCCTGGGTGCGTCATGTAGCATGTGTGTACTTGTAAAAATAATGCTCGGCAAAAGGCCAATGTTCTGAAGGGAGATTGCTGTTGCAGGCTTTTTGCCCTAGCTCTTCTTTAAGCAACCACCACCATGTTTGCGCAACCTTGTCGCTTTAAGTTGATCAAATTCCTTGGATGCATCACGCTCGCATCGAATTTGCGCAAAAGGCTAGCTGCCTGTCGCTGATGACAACTGGCGATGTCTAAAAATATTTGCCTTCTTAGGCTGGCCTTATTGCCAAAGTGACCGGCGGGTGAACCTCTTCACATGTAACGTCCAGGCTGAACGGTAGCTCTTTGCGATCGGCAGCTGCTGCCACTAGGTTAACGCTTGGTTAAGACTTTGAAATCGGGTCTTTCCAGTCGCACCTTTCCCATCCTGTGCAAAGCGTGTAGTTGAAGAGGCGTGAGGCCGTGTGTGCGGCCGTGTGTGAGCAACTGTGCGTCCGCCGATGCCTCGGCCGCCGGCCCTTGCGCTTACCTGCCTAGTATATTGAAACCTATCCGACCATTGAACGCGCAACACACCAAAGAAAGCCAGGCACTAGCCCCTGCCTCGAGTCCATTAGTTGTTGTTGCGCATTGGCAGGTTGCCTCGTCTATGCTAGCGGCTTTGTGAGGGTTGATGCAAAAGCTACCTTCATCCTGCTTTGACTGCTTCCATGCACGCATACGGTACTCCGCGTACATGCATCATGGAGGGCGCGGGGAAGGAAGGACGGTGACAGAATGAACCATGTACTTACCATGCGGCGTCGCAGTGCCGGTGAAGGGCCAGACGGCGAATGGTATTGCTACTGCTGGGTGGTGCGTGACTCTGGAACCGTTGGGTTGTATGGGGGCCACCCAGCCAATCAATCAGAACATTAACCTTTCCTCCCCGCATCCCCCTAAGGGTTGCACAACTACTTGAACCCCACCGGCTACAGCCAGGTTCAGGTCGCTGCTGCCTCCTGCCCCTCTCGTTCGTACATACGTCTTACACCACCGAAGAACTCATCATCAGCACGTTGGTGGCGGCAGCGGTGCAACTGTGTTAGCATGGGAGAAAGGGACGGGAGGCAGACCCCTGGGTCGTGGGGTACCTGTTGGGTTGTACAATGGGATTTGGGGGAAAATGCTGACACGGAAGACACTGCGTGGGGGGCCATCTGTTGGGGTCCATTGGGTTTGCATGCGAAGAGCTGGGCAGCTGGCCCAGGGTCAGGAATGGGTGGGTGCATGCATTGGTGTAGGTGCGGTGTGGGTGCGTGCGTGTGGAATGAATGACCGTTACAATGGTTCCGACATGGCCTCATCAGCTGCTGCTGCGGGCGCATCCTGCTGCTTGGAGGCCGCCGCTTATTAGGAGTGAGAAGAGTAATACCGTGGAGGGCTCACCCGGTCGTTGCTGCCTTGCTGCGGCGGTTCACCTGCAGTGTGCCGTGCAGTTGCAGCTCCTCACATGTACGCTAGCTGCTGACCTCTAGCTGCTGATCCACCGGTATCCCGCTCAACATGCCTCGCTCACGTGCGCCGCCCCGCTTCCGTGTGATGACACGTACGGCGGTCGCCTACCGCAGGGCCAGTGCGTACGGTCCCGCACCTATACCAGTAAGATCTGCATCCCCTACTGGACCGGCTGCATGTAACGGTTAAACCTCCATCCCCTACCCTGGAGAGTTTTGCGAGCGTACGGACCAGCAGGGGATGGACATACGGGCTGAAGTCCCATCTGAAGATAGATTTCAAGTTGCGTGTCGCCACCTTGGGAACAACAAACCATGCCCTTCACGAGCTATGCGCTGTATACCCGGGCGTAAGTGAATACGTAAGGGTTCACGCAACCTGACGCCTTGGGACGAAGGCTTTAGATGTGGGGTGGGCGAAGAGTCATTGCTCAGGCACAGACTGGGGCGGTGGCGGTTGACAGACGCCGCTGACCAATACTGCATGTACTCAAAAGCAGATACGCCCGGTATGTCAAATAGATAGATCCTCATCTTCTGAACTTCTTAGTTATAATTGAAGGCGAGTAGTCACGGTAGCAGCCATGATATAGAACCCAATCACCCAATCATCTCCTTCCAGCGCAAAGCAAAAGGCAACATCCAATCCAAAGCACCTGCAAATTAGCCCGGGTTACTTAGTTAGCTGTCTATGGTCGAACATGGCCGGGATCCGTGTTTGCCGGATGTCTGGTGAGGTACCCGCAGCTTCAAGATATAGGGCGGTGTTTTGCGTACCTTAATGTTACGCTCAATCTTTATAACTACACCGAGCTGAACGTCTTTTAAGTGGGCGAGAAGTACGCAAAAAACAAGCACGTGCGTAGTCCAGTCATGGTCTTGTCAACGCAGTGTCACGTTGAGTCACGCTGCGATCCCAACGCCGCTGAGGGGCACTTGGCGTACGTACAACCCTGCCAGTAATCGCGTGCTGCTGCCAACGACTGCGATCTGCTATACATTTACGCGTCCGCTTGGCTACAAAAGTGAAGCACTTGTTAAGGAGAGCGTGAAACACTGCTTACCGCCGTAGCTGTTCCTTAACACACATGGTAAAAATGAACCGGCGTTCAGTGGCCAGTGCAATCAGCCGCCTTGCTCTGCTAACGCTGCCTGTCTGCATCGCATTAAAGATGTATCCTTTGAGCAAGCCGGTAAGGCGTCATCTTTTCCCTTTCCGCAACAACTGCTTCCGCGAATAGTACTGTTTATAGCAACCTCTTGCTGGATTATTTAAACTGATGCTTGCAGGAGCATACTCTGTATGCGCTTGGCACAGCTGCTTGGCCCCTAGCGCTGCATTGGGCTCTGGAAAGATCGCATCGCCGCTCCTTTACCTTGGTCCGAAGCGGAGCAGTCGCGAATATGGCATTTGCATTCTCTTCGATAGTTTTTAGGATGCTTTCCGCCAGACTTCATCATATCGTGCACGTCGTGTGGAGGTGGCACAGTATTGCGCAGCAGGCGTTGATCGCCGGCACTACGCAGGTGCGGTGCGGCTATAGCTGAGCTAGTGACCCATGGGTCACCAAATGTTTCCATAGCGCACTAGCCGCATCATGCAGCAAGGGAGACAGGGAATGTGTACGTGCCTATCTGTAAGCGGAATGCCCGCATGCACACTCCTCAAGACTGCTGGTATTCATGCTCCTTGCTGACCGCAGGTTGTGGTCCCAAGGGCGATGTCCCCGCCATGCCTGCATGCACTGCGTTGCATAGTTTGCGCCCTGGCCGGGCTCTACACGAGCGTGGCTGCGGCGGAGGCACTCCTCCGGCGAGCCTCTTTCGCCTCTTTTCCGGGGGCAGCCGCCCTTTCGGGTCCCAAGTCGCTGCTTGTGATCGCCTGCGGCGGAGGCCCGGTGGCGGTGCTGCTAAACGGGGCGGTGCTGCGGCTGCAGAAGGGGATGTGGTGGCTGCGGGAGGTGGGTGCCACCGGGTGGCGGGTGTTGCGAATGCAGGCAGAAGGACGTGCTGTCTTAGGCCAGGGACGACGGTCCTGGGCATGCGCGTGAGCATAGCGCTTCAAGCTAGCTAGGAAACGCCACTAGGAAGCGCTACTGCGAGTGGGTGCTGCCACCTCAAGCTCACGCTGTGCCCTGCTTCGTTCCGCTCCGTGTGTATGCCCCATGCATGGACCAGTTCCTGCGAGCCCCTTGGAGCTTTGCTCGTGCGCCAGGAGCAGCAGCAGCAGCAGCAGCAGCAGCAGCAGCAGCGGAGAAACGCACAGCAGCCGGCGGTGGGAGCAGCAGCAGCGGCGGAACTCGCGGGTAGGTAGCGGGGGATTGCGGCGGAGTAGAAGGCTGCTCAGGGGGTTCAGCCTTGCCATTGCACGCCTCCATCTTGAAAATGTCGATCCACGCACCCTCGCGCCCATCTCATGGCCGTTTCAACTTCACATGCATTCAGTTCCTTGTTGCATGTGCCTTGTCTCTTCTCCTTGCTTATCCCGCAGCCCCCTGCACACGCGGCTGCACAGACGCCCAGGTGATCTGCAGGAGCCACAGCAGCAGCAGCGCCAGGAGCGGCAGCCGCCCTCGTCGTCCCCTCCACCTCCCCCCCCGCCGCCGCATCAGCAGGAACAGCAGCAGAAGCCGCCGTCGCCGCCTCCTCCGCAGCCACAGCAGCAGCAGGTGCAGCAGCCGCAGCCGTTGGGTAAGTGCGCTGCGTTCGCTCCTCTTGCTCGCCGTCGGGAAGCCTTCCTCCCACGGACCCCGCATGCCTACCTGCGTAGTAGCTCCTTGTAACCTCGCGCCATCCTCACTTTCCTAGACCCACAGCGCGCCGCATGTCACGCCAGCTCCCGCCGCACCACATGCGCTGCTGTATCTTCCATGCAGATAAGTGTACAGCACTCCTACTTTCCTACTCTACAACCTTCCCCCCGCCATCCGTCCAAGGCACCGCCCCCACGCCTCTTCCTCTCGCCGCGCCGCTGGTGCTGCAAGTCAGCCCTTTCGGAGCCGCCGCGGCAGCGGTGGAGCCCCTGCTGCCAGAGCCGCAGCAGTCCTCACCGCAGCCGCTACAGCAGGTCGCTGCTGGCGGCGGCCGCGGGGAGCCGCCTGCTGCCGCTGCGAAGTCCGAGGGCAAGGCGGAGGAGGTGGAAGGGCAGCGGCAGGAGGTAGGCTGGCCTGATGGGCAGCTGGCGGCCCCTGCCGGTCCGGGGCATGTGGAAGAAGAGGAGCCGCCGCTGCAGCAGCAGGGAGCAACGGAGGAGCCGGAG